GAGAAAAAAAGGTAATAGAGTGTTACCATATGAAGCTATATGTTTTACGTCTATTTAAAAAAGTTTCCTTATTGGAAATTTGACATTTCCTATTTCTACACAAATTGGACTTCTCAAGAATTACCATATTTTGCCCTATTTTTTTTCCTACAGAAATCAGCCTTTCTTTAGAGTCTATAAAAGCATTACACAATTAGATTCAATTCAGTTTCAACAATATTGTCTTCTATTTCTTCATCCTTCCAACAAAATCTGTTGAAGATGGAGAATCTACTAACCACATATGAGTTCCAATTTTGGACTGATGATTTTATCATTCCCAACACCATCAACTTGAACAACAATCCTTCTACTAGTCCCCTTTTTTGATAGAATTTCGGATTCAAGAATTTCTCCAGTATTTGCCAGAGGGAGGTGATTCCACCGTGGAGGAACCACGAGGTCCATTTATCGTGAAATCTTTATTTTTGCCGAGTAACGCTGTTATTGGTGATGATGATAATAATAGCATTTGCGAAATACTAAGTTACGTAGGCGTGCCTCTCCACAGAATGCCTACTGTCATTGGAGATATCTCTTCTTTTGCTCAGAGCATGATGGCTCAACCTGCCAATTTCGGCCGTCCTCTGCTTCCCATTGTTGTCGCCATTGAAGTTTATACTTGTAATCCCAGAGACTTAGAAATCGCGCACCAGAGAAAATATGGTTTCATACCGGAGATTGAAGAGGAGGACAAGCCCATGGATAAACGTCGAAGAATTGATTAGTTTAATACTACTTACTATGTATGCAATCTTGATTAGTTTTTAGTTTCAATCAATGTTTTGTACACTGCAAGTATTTCAATTTTATTTTGATAAATCTTTTACATCATAAATCAATGTTGAAATTTAATATGTGTAAGAGATTTGTTTCATGCAGTTTATTATCTCTACAATTACTTTAGTTCATCAAGGCTATGTCACTAAAAGAATGGTTGATGTTATTAGGGTAGAAGAGGGACAAATTGAATCATCTTTCAAAAAAATAAGTAATAATCTATCTGGCGTTCCATAGTTTTATCCCCAAATTACAGTGGATCATATTTAATTTGGACTTATAAAAAGACAAAATAAATGGTGTATTATATTGTACGTTCAATTTTGTTTTATGGATGGTGAAATTGGATTTTCCTTTTCTTCAATCTTTATGTACAAATATATTTCACTTCCTTGTTAAAATTAATCCAACCAAAGAAAAATCAGGCGAGCATGTTAGTAGGGTGGTTTAAATTAGAACTGAAATTGATAAGTCAAATCCCAAATAATATTATTTGTTTAATGATACATAGGTTATTCATTTAACTGTTAGGCAATAATTTAAATTTTTCTTTATATTTTTATTGGTTCAATTTTCTTAAAGGGAAAATTGATAATTTAATAGTAGTAATTTAATAAGTTATAATAATTATATATTATATTTTTTTAACAATGGTGTATCACTATATTTCTTATTGATTTTAACCTTGATAAAAGACAAATTGTTCTCAATTATTCTCGAATTCAAAAAAGGACTTCACTAACCTTGGACAAACATTGATTATTTTTTTTAGAATTCCTAAAGATACCGCCAATATTTGTTTGGTGCTTTCTTTAATTTCTATATTTCAAAATAAATTGAGCATATTAATGTGAATAAAGAAGCAGCATTTAGCAATGTGCATATTGGTTTTATCACTTTGTTTATAATCAATTAAATTGATATCTTAGGGATTATATTAAGATGAATAAAGAAGAGGAACATTTAACGATTGAATCGATACCTTATGGATTTTATATATTTATAAATTAATAATTTGATAATTTTTAAAACTGAATCAAATTGATCGATACACAACCTACGTGTAAGCAATGTGCTAGTTTTAAGTTTTATTCATGACTCTTGATAAGAGTTATTTACCCAATAAAGTTAGTTTTTATTACGTGATTCTAAGATTATTTTTTATTTTTTATTTAGAAATGTCACTTACTTGAGAAGAATTGACAAAAGGGGGCTCTCTTTGAGTTTTCAATTGGCAAAATATAATGTCTTTCCATATTCTTTAATTTTTTATTTATTATTATTTAGGGTTTATAAATGGAAAGTTTATTTGAAATTAATCCATTAGTTTCGGTTCAATTTTTTACTAGCATTCGTACTTGCTAAGGCCACAGAATTGCCTAATTATTACTTGCTTGCTTCTTAAGTTACTATTTTGTTTCCGAATCAACAATTTTGGAAACCTTAGATTCCTATTTCAACACAAATTAGTCTTTCCTTAAAGTCTATATAAAGCTTCCTATTGCTCCAACAATTCATCACCAATAATTTTCTTCTATTCACTTAGCTCAATTTGCAATCTCAACAAAAAATTGAAGATGGAGATTCCACAAACCTTCAATGAGTTCAAAGTTTGGACAGATGATTTTATCATTCCAAAGGACATCAACTTGAAGAGCATCATCAACAACAACAATCCTTCTACTAGTCCTTTATTCTTGATTGAAATTCGTGTTCAAGAATTTGTTCAATATCTTTCAGAGAAAGGGGATTCCATCGAGGAGGAACCTCGAGGTCCATTTATGGTGCAATCTTTCTATTTGTCGAGTCATGCTATGATAGGTGCTCCTGATGATAGTCTTTGTGAAATACTAAGCTCTATAGGTGTGCCTTTGCATAGAATGTCACCCATCATCACTGAAATCTCTTCATGATCAATGTCTCTACCAGCCAATTCAGTGCTTCTCCTCATTGCAGTTAACAGTTGGGATTCCACTCCCAGAGGCGCAGCAGAGAGAATTAAAGATGAACGTGTTTGTCTTACGCCATTTTTGGGTATAAGGTATAAGGTTGATGCATAGAATTTTATTTACGAAGAAAATCTTCATTAGATTTTAGTTTCAACTAATTTTGGTTTGTAAACTGCAAGCCAAGTAATAATGGATTTTCTATACTTCTATATGTTGCCGCATGTAATTAATGGAGTTAGAGTACTTGTTATAGTAGATATTTCAATTTTGGGCTTGCAATTTCCAGTTCAATTTTATATTACATAGTTTCTATCATAAGTTTGTGTGTCACAAGTTCCACATAATTTCATGCAATTTCTTATAATCTGCACAATCACTTTGGTTATCTTTTAAAAAGAAAATAAACTAAATTCTTCATGCGCTCGAAGCTTTTTAATTTGATGATTGTTTAAGAGCTATAACAACTCCATAAAAAATGCATCAGGCCCAAAAGTATAAACAAAATATTGTAGTAGTCAGTAACTGTATATATGAATCAAACCACGCCAATACTATATTTAGACATTTTCTCCTTAAAATTATCTAAAATACCAACAAAATTATCTTCTTTATCAGTAAAATTTAGTGCTCCATATTCCGTAATACTTAACGGGATACCTTGTCGAACTTCCCAATATATGAATTTTTGAATAATTACAAATTCATCGTATTTATTTCAACTGCTTGGTTTACTAGTGTTTCATGACTTTTAGAGAGCTTTACACTTGCTTTTCTGGACCTGTACTTCAACACAATCAATGGACCATGGATTTGTATCCCTAGCTGGTCGTGACAGAGCAATAATTCTCCATTGATACCAAACATGCCCACTACTACTTTTTTTTTTTTAATACCAAACATGGTTGTTGTGTCGGGGCCAGCTTTTACAAACCTTTCACAGGATACTTGTCACCTCTCATTAGCAACAAACATGCCCAGTACTACTTCTCGAATTGTAACTTTGCAATCTGCCAAATTATAATGTGATCAAAACATTGAAATTTGGATAATTTTACATAGCCAGCACCCAGCAGTCAGCACACTGTTTCTTAATTACAAAGTCAAAACACATTCAATCTTAAAATAGAGAGTACACGTTATGAAGATTCGAAATCCATCTAAGAGAAGAGCTACACTACTACAAGGGTCTAACCATATGTTTCGAGTTTGAGTCCCCCAATAAAGAGTTGCCTTTGTTAGAGAGCGTTTTACCTCAGAGACTTTTAAATACGAATTCAGATTTAGTCAGGCTCTAAAATTGTCCAATTGGATACCGAACACGGTGAGAAACCTCGTTTGTTCCCTCTGTTTCATAATGAACTCATTGGATCCTGAGTTACTGGCACCACCAATCCATCATGGCTTTCACTTGATTTTCATCCTCACGTTGCATTGCACGTAGCTGCAACTGCGAAGGGATGGATGCAGCCACAGGCTCTGCTTTTTTCATCTTGGATGTTGGCTATGACAACGGACTGTGCGCCGTGTATGGCAAAAAGGCGTGCTGTTGCTTCCTCAATTCCACTGGCACCACCAGTCACTATGGCCACTTTGCCTTTCAGCTTCAGCGAGACCGCTGCCATTTTTGTTTCGATTTGTGCTTTACCTTGTATGTTGTTACTTGAGAATGGAAATATCTTCCTAAACACTTGGATCAAATATTTGGAGTTGGAGTAGGTGGCCTAATTAAGCAGCGCCATAAGTTTGATACGATCAGCTCCAAGCTAGCCAATAATTGCAGGTAAGATAAGGAGGCTGCAGTCACAATCATAGTACAATTTTTTTTGATAATTTAGTGGCATACAAAAATGCTTTGCGGATATGTCATCCACATGTAGTTCTGTTGAGTGACCTCATTTATTTCATCAAGTTTAATTAAAAAACTTTCTTCGGAGAGACAAGGAAGTCAGCAGTGATACAAATTTCTCCAAATATTCTAGAGAAGGTACAGAGTAATTGCATGCAATTTCAAACTCTTAATATCAGGTCTTACAACTTATAAGAGTAGCATCCAGTTCAGTATACAACATATAGTTCAAAATTGTCAACTGAATTCCAACTACTATCTATCTGATCTCAAGTGCTCCAGGACTCATACCTGCATATCTCCTAAATGTGTACCTTAACAAGAGAAGCGTCATGGAGTATACTTGAGATAAATGTTCCTCCTTCCGCATCTGATTCTCAGACTTATAGTGTCCTTGGTGATGCAAACTTCAAATTCATACTAATACAGATTCATAAATATATCATCGGTTACAAAGTCAGGTAAACTTACCAACTAAACTGTGTACACTATGTTACAAGGAGCTGTTGCTAAGGGAGTTCAACTGCTATCCTCCTCAATTATTTTTATCAAATGAGAACTAACCAGTAATGGTATTTGCACCTCTTCTGTGAACAAAATTATTGTAGAAGTTTCTTGTCCGAAAGAACAAAGCCAAGGCCACAAGAGCCCCAAAGAAAGTGGAAGCTGCCATGATAAAGAAGGATAACATGAAGCAGTGAGTTCCAGTACACATGTTTCCTTCATCTGATGCTTCCTTATCGTAGAAGTATCCGACAACCCAAACAGACAGTATATAAGATCCTACAGGGCCTGCTACGGTTATGGTGTTAAATATTGTGCCCAGATGCCCTGCACCAAATATCTCAGAAGCAATTGTGGGCATTAGTGACCACTGTGATCCATAACAAATGCCAACTATAACAGAGCCTGCATACAAAGCACCAGGCAGACCAGATGCTATCACAGCATGGCCAACAGTCATACTAGCCAGAGTAACAACAATAAATAATGGCCTTGACCAACCTAGTGACCGCAAGAAATAATCTGAAATATAACCAGCTACAAAGCGACCAAGAAAATTCCAGATACTCCATAGAGAAACTAAAGTATTCGTCTCTAAGATAGTGTACCCAAGTGACCCTCCTATCTGGCTAATGTTATTAACTGTGGCCAGCCCTGTGCCCATTCCACATGCAGTGGTGACAAACAAAAACCAAAAACCAGTGGTGCACATTGCCTGAAAAAGATTCATGTTTTCCCCCCATTCTGGAGTCCTCCTCTCATTCATATCTCTCCCTTGATCAGCACCAGCAGGCAACTCCTCATAGTTTCCATGACTTTGCCCCATGTCCACGAAATATGCCTGAGATCTATGCTGTTCATCCTCCGGTGAGTTTTGCTCGAGTAAGTATTTAATTATTCTATAAGACTTTTCCTTGTGGGCACTGATCGCAACAGAAATCGGGGAAAGCAGCAAGAAAATGAGTATAGTAAAAGTAATGATGCGAACGGTCAGTTGTAAAGAGAAGATGTTTCCCACAATGATTTCAGCCATGAGATAAGAAGCCAGTACCAGAGCAATCAATGATAAACCATTAAGATGCTTCTTCTCATCATCTTCATTTGTTTGCGAGATTGTTACGAATGACATAAGTAACAGAGTAGTAATAGGAGGCAACAACGCCAACATCAGAAGATATGCAGTGGGCCTGTTTCTAAAGATTGTCTGATATACTTGAATTAATATTGCTCCACTCAACCCGAGAAAACCCTGCATAGAATTATGGAAATTAAATTAAATGTCCAAATAGGGAACAAGGGAAGGTAGCTAAATTGAAATCAATATACCACAAAAAAGATTAGCATCACAAGCCTTCTGAGATTCCAACTCTACTCCCTGATTTCTATGATCTTTCAATTTTACTTTGAGACTTGGTGCTGAAATCAAAGGAATGCCAATTCCTTCTATATTATGAAGAGGAGAAGATACAATTAACTTTGTGAACGACTTAGTCAGTCGCCTTCTTTAGTTAATATTTTGGAGGTCAAAGAGATGACCATCCACAATATCATTTGATTGACTATGCATCAATCTATACCTATCCCTACATAGACAGAAAGTTTCTAACCTTATGTAAGCGTAATAGCACTTATCGCTACATAGATATAAAGTCTCTAACCAGAACAAAAATGAATTAAGAGAATCTTAACAAACAGAGAGCCTTATGTAAGCATAATAGCACCAACAAAAACAACAAAACCAAGTTTCAGTTGATATCACCTCAATAAATCATTTGATTCCTTTTGTTCTGTGATTAGTTAAATTTACATTGATTTATAAAGATTATAGGTCTTTTGAGACAGCTACTTCCATACAATTTCAGATCTAGCTCACTGATTTCACCAATCTCACTACCACATCTAGTCATCATAGCATCTATAATTATACATATGAAGGTCCACTTAAGAAATGACCAAATAATCCCAGGCCACCTTCTCACTTTATCATCTACATGTCTGCACTCTTGTAGCATGTTATCATTTCTAGTTCTATCCGATGTATGTGTGCTACTTGCAATCTTCATTAAGTGTGATCATTTCTATTTTTATCAAATTTATTATGCCCGAAATCTATCTTCACACCCGCATTTCTACGATTTTCATATTGAGAATATGTTTACATTTATAGTCTTACAAACATTCTATAAGACAAACCTTTCATTTCGTTTGCTTCTTCCCAATGTGTGACAATCATATTGCACTCCTCAATTTAAGTCGGTTTATTTCAACTTTATGTGTTACATCTTCATCTATCAAACCATTCTATTGGAAGATTGAATGTCCATATCAAAATAATCTGACATTGAGGCACCACAATCCATCTAATCTCATTTCATCCCAATTTCAATCGGGGCCTAAATTCTTATTGCACATATCCTATCTCACTCACATTTTTTTTTTAATTTTTTTTTTTGAAGTTTTTTGGGGTAATACTTCAATTTATCATCCCACTCACATTGCGTTGTTAATCTACCACTTTATATTAGTTGTTCTAATTGATTGATAAGAATACATGAAAATGAAGTCCATTACAAAGCTTGCAACTTGTATAAGCATAAAATTGAAGTTGACAATAATGCTTGCAACTTAAATAAAAAGTTAGAATTTAAAATTTGTCAATAATTTCTTAAAAGTAACGCAATTAGACTTGCTCAAATTAGAGGGATTGAGAAACGAACCTTCATGATGCCAACAATGGTGCCTCTATAATTAGGGAAATTGTGCACAGCAGTAACAACGTTTGCCGTATTGAAGAAAGTCATAGCATGAGCAGCTAAAAGCATATAGAGGCACATAACCCATAAAGGGGGTTTAGGTAGAAGCCCCATAACGGTCAACCACATAAGATAATACCCAGCAAAGCACTGAATAGCTCCGGCAAGTAGCACCACCCATGGCCCACCACAACGGCGGCGGCGGCGACTGGTGACTGATGAGTAGAGTAAGCCGGAAAGTATGCCGACATTAGCGCCGACATCTTTGAATACGGAGACGACATTGAGGGATGATTGATCGTATCCTTGGGTAGATTTGAGAATGGAAGAATAAACGGCGAATGTGTAGAGTGAACCGCTGGTACATTGGATCCATATACTAGCGACTGTGGCTACCCATTTGGTGTTGATCTTGGCCTTAAAACTGGGATTGTAATCTGGGTCTAAATCCATTTTTACTGATTTTTTCTTCTTCTTTCTTTTGGTTGATGAGTGATCTTCCAGGAATTATTCGACGTGTTCTTCACCACTACTTTGACATTTTCTGATTTCGTCTTATATGTTGAGTTGTTTTCATTTTTGGGATTTCGTCTTCGCGTTCAGTGTTTACGGTTTAGGAATTTCGTCTCTAACTCTCTATGTTGAGTGTTTACTCTGGCTGCCACGTGTACATAAATACACTAATTTATGTATGCCAGATTGCCAGGTTAGAAATACTAATCTGTTCAGGTTGTGATTTGACACACTCCCTAACTATTATATTAACGCTAAATATTATAAGTCATTTCACTTATAAAAAACGATTTGAAAATAATTACTTTTTCCTTTCGTGTCAATTTGTTTATCTTAATTTAGTGCATTTTTAAAAAAAAATAAAAATTATCAACTCTTTAATTTTTAACTTTTCATCTACATTAAGATCAAAGAATATTTGGTACATTCTTTTCATATGCAGGTGATTCTTTTTTCAAAGGATCATACACAAAATAATACTGATTAAATAACAAATGACAGTGAGATCAGTTGGCTTTCTGAAAAATTCCCGAAGTAAATGCATAATCTTCGTTTTTGTTTTTCAATTCCTGTAAGGGAGCACTATAAGGCAACAAACCAAAAAACGAACCACAAGAAGTCACAATTATGCACAATATCTACAGTTTGCTGCATCCCAAATTCCTAGTTTCCCCCAAAAAAATAATTAAGAAACAGATACAGAATAGCAACTGTACTCTGCAAGGATTTGACACAAATACAGAAACCTTGGCCAAAATTTATGCCAGACCTTTCAGTGCCTTGCAACCTTGTGATCAGATCAGCACAACATGAGCACACGAGAATAGAACCTTCTTGTCCTATAAAACAATGCCAAGGCAACTACAACTCCAAAAAGACTTACTGATGCTAATATGAAATAAGATAACATGAAGCAGTGAGTACCAAAGCATGAATTTCCTTCTCCTGATGCCTCTTTGTCATATATATAGCCGATTACTCTGACAGAAAGAACATAAGAGCCCACTGGACTAGCTATGGCGATTGTGTTGAAAATTGTACCCATATGGACCACACCAAATATCTCTTTACTTATGGTAGGCATCAATGACCACTGCGACCCATAGCAAACACCTACTAGCAGTGAACCCACATATAAATTTCCGGGAAAACCTGAAGCGATAATCACATGGCCACCAGTCATTGCTGCTAGAGTAAAGACCATGAATAATGGCCTTGGCCACCCTCTCCTGAGCAGAAATATATCTGATACATATCCAGCTCCAAGACGGCCAAGAAAATTCCATATACTCCAAAGTGAAACTAATGTACTTCTTGCCAATGTTGTGTAACCAAGTGATTCCCCAATCTGGCTAATGTTATTTATCGTGGCCAGTCCGGATCCCATCCCACATATCATCGCGACAAATAGAAGCCAAAAGTCTATGGTGCACATGGCTTGCCACAAATTTTTTTGTTCATCAGGCTGCAAGATAGAGCTAGCCTTTCGCTGGACTGTATCTGTTGGCACTTCATCATAATCCATAATATTCTCAACAGCCAATTTATCAGAACTCTCCCATTCAGGTTCATCTATCAATAGAGAGGTAGAAGATGTGACTGATGGCGGCAGTCTCTCTAGATCAACGCTTTGGGCCTTGACTACAACACTAATAGGAGAACAGAGAAGAGCAAAGAGAACCAATAATGTAATGATCTTTGCCCATTCTGGGAAGACAAAGACGTTCTCCAAAATCCGTAAGAACAGAAGATATGCAGCAATAACTAAAGAAACCAATAAGAAGCCCTGTAAATATTTCTCCTCATTTCTTGAAGGTGTCTCATGGACTGTCACCAAAAACATGAGCATCAGAGTGACTATAGTAGGAAGTAATGCAAGCATCAATATCAGCGAGCTTGGGTTGTTATTAAATATGGTCTGATACACTTGTATTAGAATTGCTCCACTCAAACCAAGAAAACCCTGGCCAGGAGAGAATGCATCAAGAAATTGCTTAATTGAACAGACAATGCATCAGTTACTCAACAGGAGAAAATACTCATGATGGTACTAGACCATCAGAGAAAAATTGGGACCAGCATTGATAAGAGTAGATTGGGAAAAAAGAATCTGTTACCTGGGGAATGAGGAAGAACTGAAACGCATTAAAGATAAAGATATTAAGCATATCCTAATGCTCATTGCTAAAGTATTTAACTCTTAAGAGATCCAATTTTTATAATTCTACAGCTAACATAATTTCAAAAGCTAAGCCACAAAATCTTTCTAGTCTTCCAATTCACAATGAGTACCTCCAAGATAAGTTTCACCAAAGAAGGATTGAAGGAAGGGCTTAGCAGACAAGCAGATGCATGAGCAGTCATAACATGAGAGTTGTTTTTATTTTGTGAAAAAACAGATTAACAAAAACAAAAAAGAAAATATGATGCTGCTCTTCAGACTCCAATAAATATAATAGATTAATCACAATGACAACATAGTGTACAACTTCACAGACATAACAAATTGCACTTTGCTCATAATTGAAAACACTAGGTTCTCTTTTCAGGTCTTACAGGTAATCAACAAGTAAAAGGATTAATGCAAATCTATAATAATGAGCCGTAAAACTGATATTGCAGAAAGGCAAAGACCCGTTAATCTTTATCCATTATTTTTCTGTAGTTTGCAAAAGTATGCATCTCCTAGTTCATTTTCTGGAGGCATATAATGTTCCTTCAAACTCAGAAGGGGGCTTTTGTTAAGCTCAGAAAAATTAGTGGGAAAAGCTATTGAACTTACATCAAAAGTAGAATATTTTAATGCCCGGTTATTCTGAAGAAGAATATTATTCTTACTTAGCCTACTAGACCTTTAAGGCCAACTGCTAGCAAGCAGAGGCGAATCTAGGATTTTTCGAACATGGGTGCACCAAGTAAAATGTATTGAAGTGAGAATTGATCCTTAATTCTCAAGGTCAAAAGCTCAACATCTAACCATGTGGACCATTTAGACTTCTTGTAGTACGGGTGCAAGAATATAGTATTATACAAAATCTTAAAAAATATACATATAAAATATCTAATTTTACGAAGAGACCACGGGTGCGGGTGCCCTATTTTTTGGTTGTAAATTCGCCACTGCTAGCAAGCCCCTTTAAAGGATTATTATATGTAAAGACATATTTTGCAGTGCTGCAACTGCTGTGGTAGGCACATACCTAATATCTTAATCAAATCAATAAGATACTTCCCACTAGATTTTCCTTAATAGCATTAATAAATATAAAATGTCCCACTACCAACTCCACAATTATTGAAGCTTTAACAGGCTAAAGAAAGAAGCATGAAGAGCTTATTTGGATTGGTTTTTATAGCTTTTGGCTTATTTTTATCATTTAAGCTTAAAATAACATGTGTATATCAAAATTATTTTGACTTCAAATTAATCAATCCAAACAAGCTCGATGACTTCGTTTGATTATCAGGAGAAACAAAGAAAGATAAAGAGTTACGTAAACAACTTTTACATATATATCAGTTATCATCGCATCATATGCCGCCAAAAATGAAAAACTTTATTATAATCAATCCCTAAACGTCAAGCAACAGAATGCTTCACCCACTTATCAATCCTATAAAACGCCACATTAATGGATAAAACTTCATAGAGGGGCAAGTACGCTGGCAATAATCATTATCCCAATAGCCTAATTATTAAAAATAGTAGAAGGAAATAGTTTAACAATTAAACAATCGGAACACAATTTTATAAGAAAATCCGCCACAAATGCAAAATAGTACCCCTCCTTCCTTTTTAGTCCATCCCAAAAATAATATTTTCTCTTTTTCATTTTACATGAGATTGTTTGGTTTGGTATTAAAAAACCACTTTTAAAATTTATATTTATAATCTAAAATAATTTTTAATATTTATGTGGCTATAAATATTGTATTAAGAATAAAAGAAATTTTTTAAAATTAATTAGTTTTAATTATAATAAAGGAAAAAAAAATAGGGTGTAATAAATGCAGCCTTATTTCTACTTTGGATTCGGATCAAATGGAGCCACAAAAATTGGGAGTGAGGGAGCAAAAAAAATTACTACAGAAGTAGAAAATCACTCATCTGAGAGTTGATTTTGCTCATAATTCGCAACATACCTTCATGATACCCACAATAGTGCCACTATGGTCCGGGAAATTTTGAACGGCCGCAACAACATTAGCCGTATTAAGGAAAGTCTGAGCATGAGCAGCAATGAACATGAACAGGGACATAACAGTCACAGGCGGCCTCTTTATGGTTCCGGTGACGGCAAGCCACATGAAGAAATAACCGGCAAAGCACTGGATAGCCCCAGCCAGATGTACGATCCATGGCCCGCCGTGGAGAAATGAGAATCGTCCTCGGCCGGATCTAGGCTTGGCGGCGACAGCGGTATAAAGGAGGCCGGAGAGAATTCCGGCGTTGGCGCCGATATCTTTGAAAACAGAGACGGTGTCGAGAGTTGATTGATCGTAAAATTGGGTGGACTTGAGCACAGGGGAGTAGATGCCGAAGGCGTATGATGCGCCGCTGCTGCACTGGATCCATATGCTAGCCACCGCTGCTAGCCATTTGCTGCTCTCCATAGCAAATGTTCTGTGCCTGCTATAGTATGTCTAAGCTGTCATGATAATAAACAGAAACTAATTACGCATCCTTTTGTTTTTCAAATTTATTTTTATATTTTACCCCTCGTTTGGATGGTTGTTACTTAAACTATGGTATTTTATTAACAATTTAAATATAATGTTTATTTTGATTGATAATTAAAAATTTATGTATTATTTAAATCATTAGATAATAATGAAAAACTTCATTTTATATAGTGATCATCTTAATATTTATCTTCTTATTTTATCTTTATTTTATGTTTGTTCTATCTTTTCATAATAACTCTATCATGTATTCTACTTTTCTTTTAGGTCTATCATTTAAATTTCTAACGTGTGATATTATGCAACAATGAAGGATGATATAATCTATCCAAATATTTATTAAAATATTATAACTCAACTCAATACAATACAATAATATTATGAAACAATACTTAACCATCACCCCAAACAAAGTGTTAAAGGTTTTCTTGTTTTTGGGGGTCTTTTCTCGAGGACAACCAATTGGTTGTATTTGGGTCCCTATCGTGATTTTGGGTCTCTGTCGTGTTACTTCTTCTTTCTTTTTTTAATTTCAACATGATAAATTTAAGGTTATAAATTTTTTAAAATAATTATATATATCTTTATTTTAAATTTACAATATTCAAAAATCTCTCTTTAAGGAAGATGGAGCAATTTGCAAGTGGATTAGGGAATTGTGAATTTTATATTGCCATGAGAATTTGCTGTTTTTGAAATAGAAAGTACAGACAGACTTTTCAATAGGGCCTTCACATAATTGAAGTACTGTTTAGTGTACTTTTTGATAGGACCTTCACTTTTTTGAGAAAAGAATCTAATATACTCCTCAATTTTGTTATTTAGAACTGATATATTTCTCATTATAAAAGAGGCACATATATACCCCTACTTATATACAAATGACTCACATATATCCTTTTCTTCTAACGGAAATGAAAACAATTAATTTTAGTTTAATTTTTTATTATTTTTAAATATATATATATAATCCCATATGAGTATATTTAATCCTCCTCAAACATTTTTTTTTTGTTTCAATGACAATTTAGATTAATTATTTTGATGGTCAAATTTATTTATGTTTCACTAATATTTTTGTAAAACTTATTATAAATGACCAAAAATTTTTCTTCAAATACAAAAATTAAATTACAATATAGACAAAAAAAAATAGTTTTAGCTAATAATATAGCCACAAAAAAATAGTTTTAAATTTTTTTTCTTTACACTAAAGAATGAAATTAAAAAATAAAATAAGAATAAGAAACTCAAATAATTATAATAAAAGAAGTCAAAAAATAATTTATGTATGAAAAAGATTAAAATATACCTTGAACTTTGCTAGAAGAATCATATATACCCCTGAATAATTTTTAAGAAAATTAAAAGTAAAAAATATAAATTTAAAACTAATTTTTTCACTTCCGTTAAATGAAGGGTATATGTGAGCTCATTTTATAATGGTAGGGATATATGTGAGCCGTTTGTATAACGGTAAGAATATATATGAGCCACTTTGATAACGAGGGGCATATCAACTCCAAATGACAAAATTGAGGGGTATATCAAATCCTTTTTCCCTTCTTTTTTTAATGTCTGCATGTATAACTTAGTAATTACTACTATTATTTTGTCATATATATATTTAAAAATAATAATTTCTTAATATAATACATAACTTTAAAGTAAATAAATTTAACTTAAAATAAAAATAAAACTTACAAAAATTGCAAGTTCAAGTGGGAAAAAAAGCTCCAACTTATTTTTAGTTTTGTAGGTATATATCTATATCTATCTATCTATATTACCTTAAAAGTATGAACTCCTAACTTAAATGTTAAATTACTATAATATTCCTAACTTAGATTGTGACTTTTTCGATAAGTTGTGAATTTTTACGAAGGGTTGTAATTTTTCGATGAGTTGTGACTTTTTCAATAAGTTGTGACTTTTCCAAAGAGTTGTGACTTTTTCAATAAATTGTGACTTTTCCAAAGGGTTGTGACATCTTGAAAAGGTCATGACTTTTCAGATAAGACACAAAAAATATTTGTTCATACTACCCTTGGTTGACTATAAATAGAGAGACTTCCTCTCATTTTTCAACCAATTTTTGATCTTCTACTCTTCTTCTTCTTGCATTTTAAATTTTTTTGTTTGATTTATTGTCGTTGAGTGAGTTCGAAGTTTAGCGGATATGAGGTACCAATATTCTGATGAAGTAATTTGTTCTATCCTAGGAGGGTATATTCCAAAACCTCAAGTACTTGAGGAAAATAATTTTGATGATATAATAATTATTTTTTTGCTTAATATATACATTAGTATGTATGTTCTAATATATGAAGTTAACATGATGTAGTCTATATTCATTTGTTTTTGTTAACAATTTCTCTTGTGATGTAGATATATGTTTCTGAATATCTTTTTCGAAATTTAGAGAATTATCACGATTTGTTTTTTATGCTCAAGACAAAATAATGACTTTATTTATCAATGTTACTTATGTGATTTAGACTCTCATGAAGTTTGCTTCAAAATAGTAATTACTATATAAACATTGCCCTTTTGTTTTACTTATTTACTATTTCTTAATATTTCAGTATTTTAGACGAAGAAAAGTTCATATGACTTGTAATAACGCCAGTTGAAGTTTGTATTAGTTTAATTTTTATTATTTATTTAATAGTTAATAGTTAATTTTATGAGACAAATATTTTCATTAATGCAAATATATATTTATATTTGGGTAGGTATTTGTATTTAAATTAAAGTATTATATATGTCACAAATGTATTATCAAGTTAACAAGATCTTCTAATTTCAAAATATATTATTTTAAAATGTTCCAAGTTTTTTTTTAAAAAATATGTGAAAATATAAAATGTAGTTGTTCTCTTCACTTGTTCATATAACATCTAAACAGTTTAACATGGAATACACATACAAAGCACATTTGGTTAGATGACGAGAAAAATACAAAACAAATATTGTCTATAAGGTAATATTAGCGAGATAAGACTAATTACATTATTAACCTCATCAAATTGAAATAAATATATACATTATTGCATTTAACTAATAAAAGTTTTCATTGACCATCTTCATAGGTTTGTGTGAATAAGAAATATATATGACGATCTACGTTGAACATTCACAAAACAATATGCAATATTATTTTTTGCTAAACTTATTTTTCAAATCTCCGCTTAAATAAGCAATACTATTTACTATAATATATATTTTTGGAATTGATAATCACGTGCAACGCACATGTTAAAAAACTAGTATATATATATATTCATACATACACATTTGAGCTAACATTAGCAATTAATAACTTTTACCTATAAAATAGAACAAATTAATATAATCTCGAATTAATAAGATCTTCAATTGATGTAGAATAGATTACCTTATTAGTTTTATGTTATGATCATAGTTGACAAATACAAATATCTAATATTAAATAGCCTCAATAACAGATTGCATTAATTAAATTTAACTATTATCGACCATGTGTTGTAACGATCGGGTTTTGTCGTTATAGAAATGCCAACAGGGGAAATTTGGAGCTGGAAAAACTTTTTCGTAGTATTTGAATTTTTCCAATCTTGTCCAGATTTGGAGGAAATCGGAGTCACCAAGGGGTAGGGAAATCTGGTAACAATCGGGTGGAGTATTTGTGGTTTTGATTGCATGAGTAGATAGCTAACTTGTTAAGAAATCTGTATGACTTTATGGAACTGAATTCGAGTTAGTAGAACTCCCGGAATCGATCTTAGCGCAAATGGTATTTTCTGAGTGTCGTGGGTTAGAAATATGTTGTGAAAGGGGAATTTTGAAATTCTTTAAATAGCTCTCTATTTCGTTTTAGCCGTTTTGATGCTGAGTTTGGCCGCTCTGGCGGAGCCGCTACAACGGGATTAAGGTCGTGGTGGCGGGTACGACGAGACTTATAATCGTAGGTGAAAGACGAATAGCTCACTAGTTCAAGAATGTCGCTTTGGCAGGAGTTATGGTCATTCTGGCGTCGCCGCTGTGGCGGGGTAGTGGTCGTTTTGGCGGAATCAACGAGAATCAAAGTCGTTAATAAACCCCTAAACTATCTCATTATGAACTTTTCGACTTTTAGAGCTAAGGAACGACCCCCAAACGACTCATAACTCATACTCATTTTTCACAATTATTGAGGCTTAAGGTAAGTTTTTCACTTTTTGAATCCGTTTTGATCCGTAGAACGTAATAGAATTGGTGAATATTGATGGGTGAGGGTTTTGATCTTGAATCTATGGTGGAAACAACCATTAATATGATAATTAGGATCATGGGTTGATCTAGGGTTTGTTAGATTTGTTGGTAATTCGGGTAATTAATAATTGTTTATTGATTCCCACATTATATTGATTGTTGTAGACCAAGAACAAGCAAAACGAATACGAAAAGGGAAGGATCAAGTTTCTTAGGGTTTCAAGCTTGTTTCGAGGTAGGTAATGGTTGTGATTCTAAATTTGTGTGATGTATGTTTGTTATTGCTTCATTGTGATACTTGTGTATATATGAATGTTGCAATGTTAATCACAATTGTTGTAAACGAGATAGATAAATATCATTGCCATGAAATCATGACTTAAATGTATGATCTTGATGATGTACTTGCGTTTGTGATTGTGGTGTGTGAATGAGATCGGTTTGCCACGTTCCAGCATAACTAACTTAGATCGGATTGCCATGTTTCGGCATAAATATGGGATCGATTGCCACGTTCCAACATAAATATGGGATTGGATTGCCACGTTCCGACATGCTAACTGTTTGGGTTTGGGTTCCATGAGAGGACCAATGATATGATGATAAATGTGAAATGTGTTGTTGATTCTTCATGTTGATGATGTTGTATATGTTGATATATATGCATGTGATTATAATGTTATTTGACTTGCTTATGTTACACTAGTGGGATAGCTGTATGATCCTACCAATACTTTG